GGCTTGTGCCAATTAATGCTGATTAATTATTTCTCTGCGCAAGAATAGCATTTAAGGTCAAGGCTCCCATGTTGTTTGTTTGTTTGTTTGTCTTAAAGTGGCGGCGGACCTTTTCCTGAAAGAGGATGGGGCTGTGGTATTCAAGGGGGGTGTTAGGAAAGGGACCTATCCATTCCTGCTTCACCTATTTTTAACCGTTTCTCCCTCCTGGCAGGAGAGGGTGGAGAAAGGGATGCATCTCTGCTCCCTGGGGGACTTGTCGCGGCTCAGAGGTGGGCATCCCAATTGGGGAAATGTCTGGGCTCTGGCAGCAGGAGGATGAACTATATCCTGCCCCCACAGCCGCCTACATCACAGGACCACAAAAAGAATTCTAGGAAAAGAAATTTTTAAAAAAGAAAGAAAAGGTGGCATTTTCAGACTTGGTTCGGATCGCTGGGAGTTCGGGAGGCGTTTGTGAAGGATCAGAGAGGACTGGAACAATGCGTTAACCCAACAGACACAGAGACAACGATTCTTCTTACTGGGGGGGGGGACCCAAAACACACTTCCGCTCGATTCAGCACTGAAATTTCCTCCCCCGTGTCCTGGAGGCCAGAAATGAAGGTTCTGAGCAGTTTTATTTTCCAGAACAAACATGGGGTGGATCATGGGACGGCTGCTAGAAGAAGCCCGGTTCTTTTTAAGGTTTAGATTGTAAATGCTGCACAAACGTTTGGCCCAAACATACTCAAAACAGGCAAGCCTCGTTGATTCGAGAGTTGTGCAACGCTTAAGAGGAGTGGATTGTTGTTATAAGGTCTGTTGTGGGTTTTTCCCCCTGTTCCCCCCTTGGTCGCAGGAGACGGGAGACAACAACCAGTTCTGTTGGAGAAACCTCTTCTCCTGCATCAATCTGCTGAGGATCCTCAACAAACTGACCAAGTGGAAACATTCCAGGACCATGGTGAGCAGCCCAGCATCTCCTCTAACCACCTCCTAATGGCTTGGAGGCTAAAAAACTTGTTTTGTGTAGCAGAACCTGCAGCTCACGTCCCACTTTTTAAATGCATGTCTTGTTTTCTTCTCTCCTCCTTGCCTTGCCTGGCTCCCTAAAGAATATGGCCCGCCTGGAAAGCGCTGGTGTTTTACCAGAATAGAAAGAAATTTATTTTATTTATTGATTTAATTTATATCCCACCTATCTGGTCAAAACGACCACTCTAGGCGGCTTCCAGACAGGTGAAATACATCAACATATACATATAGCAAGATAAAAGTATCCAGAAATAAACAAAAAACAATAAACAATGAACAATAAGCAAAAAAAAAAAGTAAGCAAAATTCTTCAAGATGGCAAAATGAAAGTGGTTTCTGGTTTGTTTAAAGGACTTCCTTCTTGGTTTTTTTGAGCATTCTCTTTCCCTAATAACTGGGAATTGCAACTATAACTTCCACCAGGAGTAACTTCACTCTTTAAAACAGGAATTTGAACGTCAATGGATCCTCGAAGGCTTTCATGGCCAGGATCCGAGGGTTGTTGTAGGTTTTTCGGGCTGTTTGGCCCTGTTCGGAAGGTTTGTCTTAGCATTCCAGGACCATGGTGAGCAGCCCGGCATCTCCTCTAACCACCTCCAAATGGCTTGGAGGCTAAAAACCTTCAATTTGAAAGTTATTTTTCTGCTTATGAGGATGTGGCTTTACTGAGTTAAATACATATATATTTTTAGAAAAAGAATTAAATTATTTTCAAAGAACTGGAAAGCAAACAATTAGTTTTCATAACCCCAAAATGAAGCATAATGGTAGCTAACTTAAAAAAATTAGGATATTGAGTGAATAAATATCAACCTAGTACTCCAATCCTGGCCACTTTACACTGGTTATCTGTCCATTTCCATGCCAGCTTCAAGGTGATGGTTCTCACCTATAAAACTCTATAAACTGTTTGGGACCTCAGTATCTGGCAAAACTCCTACTTCCAACTGCATCCACCCCTCCCGCACGACATCCCAAGCAGGCCAGCTGAGGATGCTAACCTTGAGAGAGTTTGCCCCTTCGCTGGCCATTTGTAAAAAGTCATTAAAAACCTTGTTATTTAGGCAAGCATTCTAAAATGTGATACCTGCGGATTCAGCTGAACTTAGCCTAATTTGATCAAGTCCGCCATGCGAAACTTTTTTTTATACAAATGTATTTTAATCCTTTTGATTGTATTGCTTATTTGTATTTTATTTTATTTTATTTTCTGTTCTGTTAGATTGTGTTTTAATTAGGTTGTTTGTTTGTTATAAAGCGCCCAGAGTGTCTCTTGCCCAGATGGGCAGGTATACAAATTAAATCAGTCCGTCTGGGGAAACAAGACCTAATGACTTCTTTAAACTTGGTTCAGTCGAGGATTCCTCCACAAGCCTTAAAAACCTTGAGCATCTCATTCACCCGCTCTTGCAGTGGTTTTCTATATTCTATAAATATCTTTAAATTTGTTTTTTTGTAAAAACAAACAAACAAACAAAAGACCCACACAGCTCTTTTATCCCCTTTCTTCTTGGTTTGGTACGGGGACAGATGCTGGTGGTCTTCAAGTCTGCTCCGATCCTGAAACGGGCTCTCAAAGTGAAGCAGGCCATGCTGCAGCTCTACGTCCTGAAGCTGCTCAAGATCCAGACCAAGTACCTTGGGCGGCAGTGGCGGAAGAGCAACATGAAAACTATGTCGGCCATCTACCAGAAAGTGCGCCACCGCATGAACGACGACTGGGCCTATGGCAACGGTGAGTGCTGCGGAGGCCTCCCTGTCCGCAGAAGGGAGGTGGGGTGCCCTTGGCCGGGCTCTCTTGTTTTCTTGAGAGTAGGCACCTCCATGTTTTTGTCTCATAACCCCCTCTCCACCAGAGCAGAGTTAATGAGATATGGCGGGAGCAGGGGACACTGGCCTAACTTTTAAACTGTTAAGTTCTAGAAACAAATCTGAGTTTGCTTCTGGAGTTTTTTTTCTCTCTCTCTCTCTCTGGGAAGCCGACAGCAGTGACCCCTATGGAACTGCCGGGTACAGAATGAGATGAGGGATCTGACCCTGCAGCTCGATGCTGCTCACTAGATCTAGGACTAGAGATGGGCACGAAGCACCGGTTCGGCGGTTCGTCTGACAGCCCAAACAGACATTTGGTGTCTTGCAGCCTCGCCTCCTCTAGGGGGCGCCCACTCCAAGGCAGCAACCACAGCTTTCCTGCCCCACTTCCTCCAGACACTGCCTTGGAGGAGGGGCACCCACCAGGAGGTGGCCAGGCTGCAAACCTTCGGCCATCCAACGAACCAGCACGAACTGGCAGTTCATGCCTATCTCTGTCTAGGACTTCAGATAAAACTTTTGTTAACAAAGAAACTACTTTTAACACGTACATACACACACACACACACACACAAAGAGGAGGAACGGGAAAATAACTCCTGACAACATATTGGGACGAAATCCTGTTCTGCAGCTATGCAGATGGTCCAGCTTTTGGAGGCGAATTGCTGTAACTCAATAAACCTTTGCTGATGTCATGTGTTGCACGCTGAGTCATGTGGCTTGGATCTGCCTTTAGCATGCTGCAACACTTGTATTGCTGGCTGGATCCCTCAGTTGTTTTTAGGCTCCTGGTTGGGTGTGTGATTCCCTGCTGTGCCTCCGGTGAGTACAGTCAGCCTGGGTGGCCTTGGGCAAGCTGCGCAGTCCCAGGGCACCCCCTTCCTGAAGAAGGGAAGGGTAAACCACTTCTGAGTGTTCTCTACCTGGAAAGGTCACCCTAAGTCAGAGTTCACTTGATGGGACCTGATTATTATTATTATCACACTTGTATTATACAAATCCTGGCCCATTCTAACTAGACAAAATATCATGCAAAAGAGAGTACATTCTGGATTTGTGCTGGGAACCACAAACAAGGCAGGAATGATTCGGTTTTCCAGACACAGTGCACAGTTTACTTAGCATTGTTGATAGCTGTGCCAGAGGTAGGAGTTTTTCATGAAGACACCCCCCCAGACAATCATGATTGAGTCCCTGAATGCCTTTTAAAAGTTCATATATTTTAAAAAGTTTACTTGCTTTTTATTCATGCATATTTTAATGAGTGTACGGTTTCATTTTTAAAAAATGTTTAACTTACTATGTTTTTAATTCTGTTGTTTTAATATGTTGAGCCGCCTTGGGGGAGTTTATTGTTGTTGTTTAGTCGTTCAGTCATGTCCGACTCTCCGTGACCCCCATGGGCTAGAGCACGCGAGGCCCTCCTGTCATCCACTGCCTCCTGGAGTTGGGTCATACAGTATTCATGCTGGTCCCTTCGATGACCCTGTCCATCCATCTCATCCTCTGTCATCCCCTTCTCCTCTTGCCTTCACACTTTCCCAACATCAGGGTCTTTTCCAGGGAGTCTTCTCTTCTCATGAGATGGCCAAAGTATTGGAGCCTCAGCTTCAGGATCTGTCCTTCCAGGGAGCACTCAGGGTTGACTTCCTTCAGAATGGATTAGGTTTGTTAGTCCAGGGGACTCTCAAGAGTCTCCTCCAGCACTGGGAGATAGGTGGCCTATAAAACAAACAACAAAAAATAGCCCCCCAAGAGTGGTTCTTCCCTGTTAGTAAAGAAGTGATCTTACTCTTTTTTTCTGCCTCACTGGCAAACAGATATCGACGCTCGGCCATGGGACTTCCAAGCAGAAGAATGCACTTTGCGAGCCAACATCGAAGCCTTTAACAGCCGGAGGTACGATAAACCTCAAGACTCTGAATTTGCTCCAGTGGATAACTGTTTGCAGAGTGTTCTGGGGCAGCATCTGGAACTTCCTGAGGATTTCCATTACTCCTACGAACTATGGCTGGAAAGAGAAGTCTTCTCCCACCCCATACACTGGGAGGAACTGTTATGCTATCAGTGACACCCTTAAGGCTACGTTTAACCTGAATTAAACACCATCTCAGTCTTTTTTACACAAAGGGTGCTGTCTCCCAGGGAAAAGGGGAAACACTAACATATGTGTAGGGCCCTCTGTCTAGCAGGAAACTCTTCACAGTAAGTCACAAAGTGATTTGTACCCTATGCCCCCATCTTGGCTAGTCTTCCTTTTCTCTCTGGTCCACCTCCTTCAATCTACTGTAAACAGGCTTGGCTTATAGGCGAGAGCATCCTTATTCCGATGTGTTTATGTGGCCCGGTCCTGAATATTATACTTTCAATGTTCTTACATGGATGAATTTACTTCCATAGTTGCTTTTTGTGTGAGGGTCATTGCATGAACCACGTTTTTCCAAGACCTCTGTCCCAAGGATGTGCAATTCCCGTGCCTGGATATCAGCACAAATGTGTACCTTTTAAAAGGTGTAGCTTCACCTAGGCTTCCCTAGAAACCATATACTGCAAAAGACGGTTCACAGGAGGCTGTTGGTGCCAAAGAGACCTCGTGTCTAAGCAGGAAAAACTACTAGGAGGAACAGTCCTTTCTATAGACAATCATACTTGCAAATGCAGTCTGGATGAGTGTGTACACACATCCAATGTGAACAATTTTCCATTGTTTCTTTTAAGCTGATTCCCCCCCCCCTTCCCACGAGAAGAAGCACTTTGCCTGCTCCGATTTTAAATATACTTTTGTACATCAAAAACCCTCACCACGTGTGATGATCCAAGGGGCCTCTCATATTCAATATTCCATAGTGGTGGGTGAATGCCAGGAACATCGCGCGTGGCAGCAATTGAAGAGAGCGAGCAGAGATGACCCAAACCAAGCCTGAATATTTCACTTGTAAGGTGGGCAGAACAGTAAGGGCTTCTCCTCTGTAAAAGACCAGGGAAAAGATTTTAATTCTCGTGCTTTCATTCCACCCTCATCAGTACATGATGTTGTCAAAATGCCTGGGTGTTGTTTTTCCATACTACCTCTTTAAAGGCACAAAAAGACTTCTCTATGTTATATTAACATCTGAAGAGTCCGCATATTTAAAGGGTCTGCGCATATTTCTAGCTTGCTTTCTCCCGGGGTGTCCACTTAAAATTCCTGCAGTTGTTTCAGGGCTTATTGGTATGACTGGGAACCAGATGGTCATGCTGTCCATACAAGCAAAACTTTTGCACACTTTTCAAGGACGATTTTTAATCTTCAAGGTGTTAATATAAGATATTTCCTTCTCTCGGAGCATAGATTTCCCTTTTTAAATTGGTTTTGCTTTCTCCAGGGCTCTTATTTAGAAAATGAAAAAGTATTGTTGTTATTTTATGGTAGCAGCATGATTCATTATATTACAAAGGCAAATATGGCACATGACTTGGTTTTATGGTTGTTTACCAAGAATACGCACAAGTTGTAAACATACATCTTACATGGATTCCCTCTGTTACCGTGAAGTGTTTGTTTCCAAACGTGAATTGTACTGCCAAGTCATTTTACAGTAAGGAGAAATCGCTATATTAAATGAATCCACATTTAAAGCACAATTTATAGCCAAGAATAAAAGCTGCTATTAAAGTGTGGAAGTATATTGTTCAATTAATGATTGAGAATAGTGCCAGTTGGGGAAAAAAACCCCACACTGTTGCTCTCACCTAAATAAAGAGCAAACATTTTACATGAGTGTTAAAAATTTCCTGTGTTAGTGCTCAGTGCATCCTGCCCTAGTTTTTGAAGCAGGACGTATAAATGAGTGAATAAGGGGAATGTTCGACAGCCAATATAACAATACATTCAGGAACAACTTAATGTAACTTTAGAGGGAAAATGTGTAGAGATTCATTATTGCCATCTCCGCATCCTTAAAATTCCTGTTCACGGTTGTAGAAGAGGTAGCCATGTTAGTCTCACAACAACAACAACAACAACAACAATAATAATAATAATAATAATAATAATAATAATAATAATAATAATAATAATAATAATAATAATAATAATAATAATAATAATAATAATAATAAAGTAAAAAATGTGGTGGCTCCTTAAAGACTATTATATTTTAAAGTGAGCTTTCATGCACAAGTCCACTTGCTCAGACATAATGAGGGAGAGAGATATATAACATGGCAATTATTTACTGATCACTGTTCTGTCTTAACACCATGGTGGTTTAAAAGTCTACCATCAGGAAAGCTATAGGTGAACTGACCATGAAACAAGGCTTCCATGTTCTAGGATATAGACATCTGTATTCAGAAGGAAGCAGGGACTGTTTCCAAAAGTAAAATAAGAATTAAGAATAACATTTCCAGCTGCTGCTCTACGTTTTAGTGTTACCTAGACGCTGCACTTATACCAGAGGTGGGGTGGTGCATTCCCCCCCTCCTGTTTGGGACGACAGCACCCACAATCCCATCCCAGTGACCAGACTTGCCTAAGGCTTTGGGGAGCTGAGGTCTAAAATATCTGGAGGACCAAAGGCGGCTATGAGGAAATGAGGTTCGTTTTTCCACGACAAAGACTAGCGGCAGCCGATCGGTTCGTCCCAGCTCCTGCCAACCTAGCCATTCGAAAGGATGTAAAAATGCGAGTTGATAAATAGGGACCACCTCAGTGGGAAGGTCATGGCGTTCCGTGTCTAGTCGCACTGGCCACATGACCACGGAAACCGTCTTCAGACAAACGCTGGCTCTACAGCTTGGAGACGGGGATGAGCACCGTGCCTTAGAGTCGGACATGACTGGAATAAATATCAAGGGGAACTTTTACCTAATATAAATTAGAGTGCATCTTGGTTATGGGAATCCCTTTTCACTTAAATGGTAAACAATGTTTATTATTATTATTATGAGGAAATATTTTTGCTGTTTTGCTGTTGTTACAATAATTACAATATGATAATTATTACTATTACTAGTACGTGGTGGCGCTGTTGGGGACGTGGTGGCGCTGCGGGCTAACCGCAGAAGCCTCTGTGCTGCAGGGTCAGAAGACCAGCAGTCGTAAGATCGAATCCACGCAAGGGAGTGAGCACCCGTCGCTTGTCCCAGCTCCCGCCAACCTAGCAGTTCGAAAGCATGCAAATGCGAGTAGATCAATAGGGACCACCTCGGTGGGAAGGTAACAGCGTTCCGTGTCTAGTTGCGCTGGCCACGTGACCACGGAAGATTGTCTTCGGACAAAAACGCTGGCTCTATGGCTTGGAAACAGGGATGAGCACCGCCCCCTAGAGTCGAACACGACTGGACAAAAAAAATTGTCCTTTACCTTTACCTAGTATCTTTAAGAAGAAATATTTTTGCTGCTTTGCTGTTACAATAATTATAATAATAGTTATTACTATTACTATTATGGGGGGAAATAATATCCGAATAAGAACTATTATTTTTTGTTGTGGTGTATCGTTGTACAATATAACAACAATAATACTGTAGTTGTTATTTTCTTCCTTATTTTAGAAAATGAGAGTCCCCAAAACTGAGGCCTCCTATTTCTCCTTCGAGCAATACAGGTGCAAAAAACGAATCGTCTCTTCCCGCCTTTTTCCCCCCTTCACACAACCGTCCCCCGCCAGGCCCTAAAGGGGAGAGGCGCGCATGCGCGCTCGCACCTAGCCCCGCCTTCTCTTTTTTTTCCGCTCCCCGCGCTATTTCCGTTCCCTTTTCCTCGGAAAGGCCGCCCTAAGCGACCATGTCTTTCCCCGCCCCTGCTCCCGACTGCGCACGCGCAGAGCCAAGCCGGCAGTCGCTTGGCTTTGACCGCTGCCTAGCTACGCGGAGACGGGCCCCTCCCTTTACTATGGCAACGAGACTGATGGGGAAGTAAACAGAAGACGAGCCACGCCCACTTGGGAGAAGCCACGCCCAGTAAGGAGACTGCGGGAGCAGGAGGCGGCGGCGCGCAGGCGCTGTTGCTGCCACACGCGCTCTCCTTTGGGCTTCGAGGAGCGGGTTGGATGGTGAGTCCCTCCCCACGTGATGTTGCAGACACGTGTAACGGGAGAATCACGTGGGAATGGGGGCTTTCGTGCCAATGGGGGCCCAGGCTGCTGGAGATACACGTCGAGGATGGACTGCTTTGGTTCTGGGCAACGAAGGCTGCTTGGTAACGGAGGTGGCTGGACCGACGGAGGGGAGGAGCTGGACCCCCTTTGGATTGGGGCAAAAAAGGGAAGACCAGCCTGGAGAGAAATAAGCCCCCTCCGTCCTTTTGCAGCCCATAGTCCTCAGAAAGGCACCAAAAAAAGGTCCGCCAGTGTCAGCCAGGGATGGGAAACACCACTGCTTTTTTAAAGGCCAACACCTAAAAACAGCGGGGGAGGGGAGAGGGCGTTGGAATCGCATGAATAGGAAGCAGGAGCTGGAGAAATCCGGGGAGTGGGACAATGTGCCTTGAAGAGGTCCTGCAGTCTAACCCTAACCCTAATAATAATCTGAGAACTACAGAGCTGGAAGGGACCCTCTGGGTCATCCAGTCCAGCCCCTGTCAAAGAGCCTCAGATGGGATTCGAACTCCCAACCTCTCGCTCTGCAGCCAGGAACCTAAGCAACTGAGCTATCTAGTAGTTGGGTTTTGTGGGTTTTTCAGCCTTTTTGGGCCGTGTTCTGAAGGTTGTTCTTGTAGTTGGGTTTTGTGGGTTTTTCGGGCTTTTTGGACTGTGTTCTGAAGGTTGTTCTTCCTAACGTTTCGCCCCTCTGTGGCCAGCATCTTCCGAGGACAGGAGTTGGAACACACCAGAGCGCAGACAGAGTTCTGACACCAGTCCTCGGAAAACACCGGGCCACAGAGACGGGCGAAACGTTAGGAAGAACAACCTTCAGAACACGGCCCAAAAAGCCCGAAAAACCCACAACAACCACCCAGGCGCTATCTTTAGAAGCTTAAAAATACTAAAGACATCGTCTTGCTGGAGAATGAGACATAGTGATCATCGTTTCAGTTAACTGAAATAACAAGACTATGGCAATGTATAGGGGTACCATTCTCAGAGTTTATGAAGTACGTACAGAAGTCTAGTTTCCAAATCCCACAAGGGGCTAGTCCCCCTCTATTCAGCACTGGTTGGGCCTCACCTTGAG